ACGTTCAGAGCGCTGACCATCAGTGAAAGTGCTGGCTCCCCCAGGAGGAAAATGGAAACGCGATGTGCGACGCCTGCTGTGGGACACGTCGCAACCTCGTGAAACACCTCAGGGGGGGCCCACGGGCTGCGTAACATATGCCATGTACATACTCCTACCGATGCATGTGTACATTGTCGTCAGGCTTTGCTAAACATGTCATGGGCTCTATGTTTCGAGGACGCTGCGATACGGAGGGGCCCAGTACGCTTCGGGACATCATGCCTGTCAACACGTACGCCTGCCCCGCACGCGAGGTCGACGGCTCGACGATCTCTGCGAACACTTCTGCACGCATCTACCTTTGCGACCTCGTCCGTTTGACGATGGCCGACGGCAGGGAGAACGCAGCGATGGAGATGTCCGCGGCGCCACCCGCGTGGTTCAGCGGTGGGAACGCGGAGGCAGACGACGCGGACGCCGACAAGAAGCAGAAGGGGGAGAAGCCCGACAAGACAGGTGGGCGCGCTGGCGCAGGCAACGACAACAAGCTCGGCGTCGCCAACGCCAGGCACACCATGACGATCGCGCGAGATGTCCCAGACTTGAAGAGCACGGTCAACCTCCGATACGAGATGCCAGATTCGACGAAAGGAGTAACGGCGGCGAGCAAATCAGCAGGGGCGGCCTACAACAAGACGAGCCTGGAGATGAAGAAGACCGCTCGCGCGGGCGGAGACGTGAACTACAAAGAGCGGGGGCCACCCCACGTTCACATCGTGATGGCGGCCGTCCTGCACGGCGCGGGCAAGCAGTTCGGCGACGGTGGCAGTCCAGATCAGATCAAGCTCCGAGACACGATGAAAGACTTTCTACAGCACTGAGATCATGAAGCCAGGCCTTTCGGCGATGAAGATAGGTCGGGCCGTCCCGTACTTCCGCTGCCAGGTGTTGAAGGCGGCGAACGGCGACACTCCGGAGGCCATCCTTTCGATGGCGCTCCACAGGGCCACGTCGGTGGGCAGCACTCTCTCTTGGCATATGGAAAAGTTGCTGGAGTTCGAGGGGGGGTGTTCTTGCCGGGAGCGGTTCCGAGAGGGCCCCTGGGAAAGAGAGATCGGTGACATGGGTGGGCCCAGGAACAAGCAGTAGGTAGCAACAGCTAGCACAGCCGGCAAAGAATCAGTAGCAACACAGATGTAAACCTCCCGCCTCGTGGGCCCCCTGTCGGGGCTCCTCGGCCATGTTTGTCCTTCTTCTTTTTTGTTTCTTGATATTATATATATATATATATACATATGTACATATATATATATATATATATATATATACATATTGCAACTTCCAGGGCCACGAAGGCTCGGGAAGCCTTCGCAAACAGTGCGCGTTTTCAGGATCGAGTTTCTCGCGGGGTGGCCCCCTTTGAGGCTCTTGGCCAGCCTGACCTCTCGGATGACAACGCATGCAGCAGCTCCCCTCCCTGGCCCGCTGCCCCTCACCACGACTGTATATGCCCCTCGCACGACTCTGCGCCGGGCTCCAAAGGCAAGGGGAAGCGTCCGTGGGGGGGCGGGAGCGGGTCGGTGCCCGGCGGGAACGGGGCCCCCATGCCTTTGGAGCTTGCCCCCGAGGGCTGCGTGCCCGACCTCAGGGGTGCAGGCCGGCCTGCGCCACTCTGGCGGTGCGCGCTGGTCAATCTTGTCGCGGCAAGGGGGGGGGCGCAAGCAACCCGATTCAGAGCCTTTGCTCTCTCGATGTTCGTCAAGATTTAGATAGCTCGACAGTCAAGCAGAGGTCCGGATAGGACTCCATGAGCGATTCATTCATTCATTCATTCAGTTCTCTTCCTTCTCCTCCTCTTCCTCCTCCTCCTCCTCCTCCTCCTCCTCCTCCTGCTCTTCCTCCTCCTACTCCTCCTCCTCCTCCTCCTTCTCCTCCTCCTCCTCCTCTCATTCATTCTTATCCTCTTGATTTTCACCCTGCCCCCAATCCCCCTCATCGATGTCCTCCTCCTTTCCACTTCTCTCCTCATCATCTGCATCGTGTCCATCGCCCACCGTTTCGATACCGGAATTACATATGAGTGTTGCCGCCTTCCTATCCCGATTGATCTTCATCATCATATGATTTCGAGTCCTCATCATATTCCTATGTCTCCTCTTCGTCATCATCTTCATCCCCCTCTCCCAGAAACTCAGAGAAATCCGGCGCACACGTCAGAGCAGACCTCTGCACGATCAGTCTTCTGGCAATCACCTAGCCATCTCAGATCTCATCCGGCTCATCCTGGCGGACCCGATGGCGTTCGGCGCGATCCTGGAGAACACAGAAGTTGGTGAGCAGGCGGCCCGTTTGCAGGGGCGCTTGAGGACTCCGAAAGATGTCCAATGCAGGTTGGCCCGCGAACGCAGCTGCCAGAAGTTGCTTGCCTGTCGCGGCCTCATTTAAGAAGGACTGGCCTGGGTCAGAACGCACGGGCGCTGGGCTGTGTCCCGGGGCGCCGCTGAACGCTCGCGCGCCAGTTCGTTTTCGAGCGCACAGGGTACTGACAGCGAGTCGGTCGCAGACGAACGAGGTGACTCAGTGATCGCCCGCCAGGGCGTTTTCCCAACCCAGTCCATTTCACCCGTTGCATGTCCGACTCAAACTCGCGAAGTTGTTTCAGATACTGTCGGCTGCTTGCGCCGGCCTGAATAGGGCGGGATGGGCGGCGGTGGCGTCAGACCGTGCGGGGCAGCTCAAAAGAGCGATGCGTGTGGTCCCCATGCCTTGCGCCCCGCGCCAAATAGCTAGAGATGAAGAGGACTACGCTTTTTGAGAGCTCCGTCGATGTTCTGAGCGGGACCCCGAAAACCCCTTAGAGGTCTTTTGCGATTACCTCGGGACCATTGACCATACGGTGCG